CTTATTGCTAAATCTGGGTGTGTGCGCACACGCGTGTGTTCAATGTTGGAATTAGATTGTATATAGAGTTTTGTAGTGCTCCCTTGCATTTATCATTATATCATAGTCATTGCTCAATTATATAAACTCCTCTACAGAAACTCATTTTTTAATGACTGCATGATATTTTAGTGACTAAATGAAGCCTAATTTATGCAACTGTCCATCTATAGCATTCACTGAACAACCCCACGAAATCAGGCTCCAACCTCAACTGTTTCATAAACAATGACCTTCTACTTGCCAAATCCAATGGGCTCATTTCTTTCCTCTCTTACCTGAACTCTCTACGATAACTGACAATGTTATACACTTCCCTTCCCCCAAATCATTTACCATGCCTTATCACATTTTATTATCATTTTCATCCAATTTCTCTAACCATTTTCCTCAGCAAACTTTGCTTGTATCTCTTCTCTACAACCAAGGCTTTTGTCCTTTTCACCTCATTCTTGAGCATTTTTCATTTACGCCTTAATTTCAAATGACATTTTTATAATAAAAAGTCTGCATTTGTAAGAGTTATAGTTTTATTTTCTTAAAAGATTTGTCTGTTTTACAATTCTCACAGGTAAGAAATTTTTTCCACTAGTTTATATTTTGGAGACTCAAAATGTGTGGGTAACAAACCTTTGAGAAGGATAAAGAAAGTACCATATAATTGTCACTAGGTCCCAAGTGACAGTAGTCAGGTGAATAAAAACTTGGGGCTCTAAACATTACAATTCGATATGTTTATCTTAGCAAATAGCATTATTTTCAACAGTTACAGAAAAATAAAGTCAAATAACCAGTGTAGCAAGATGTAGTTTAAAGACATATTCCTTTTCTCTCCATTCTACATTAAGTTATATAATTTATAAAAAGCAATTTGTTATAACCATGTGGCCGTTGAAACACTGAAATGTACTGAAATCAATCTGCTTTCTCTTCTTTGGTTCAGCATGAAGTAAAGGAGCATGCTATCTAATTTTCCTCTTGGTAATTTTTATGGTGGATATTAATCATATAAACACATCTTCTTTCTCAGAAGTTGTATAAGGTTGGCTTATTCTCCACAATGTACACAGACAGAATATTAGAAACAAAACAATTTCATAACAGAATTCTTTATGTTACAAGTAAATCCCAAGACAATGAGTGCTATTATCAAGATGAGGTTTTTATAATAAAACTGTTCTATGATCTGGTATTGGGTCATAACAGTATTTGCTGAGGTAGCTAGGGGAATGTTTTTGGGTCCCAGCTCTGACAAGAGTCAATCTAACAAAAGCAGCTGATGGTTTATTGGTTATACTCTAGGTAATGCAGGAGAGAAAAAATCCTCATACCTTATAGAAGGACAGCATTTTTTAACTTTTATAAACTGGTTTACCATCTTTTA